AAAATAGGTTGGAGAGGTCAGAACCACTTTGCTTGTCTACATATGAGTGCTGAGTCAGGTCTGCCAGAGGAAAACTTGTCAAAAACTCATGCCCCTAAGATGCAAAAACTGGAAGCTGCCTTATTTTACTATATAATAACGGACAAAGAAACATTGACTGATCCAATTCAATACCATATTAGAGGTCCTCCCAACACAGAAATGAGAAGGCAGGTTTTAAATGTTTGATACTTAGCTCAGATAATATGAAATACAGATTCCCATTTAGCTGTGACTCACATTTCCCTATTTCCAAAAGGTTACTGAAGAGGTGTATTTAGTTATTGCTGTTATAGTTTCCTTTTTATATGCATGTGGTTTCCAGAATCATAAGAAAGGTAGAGTACCAAAATGTTCCTATCCCCCAGTTCATTTTTAAGATGTCAACAATGATAAAAAGTATGGCTTTTATAAAAAAGAAACAAAATGCACACTTTTAATGACAATTAAATCATACTTTTTATTGATGGATTGTTAGTTCTTTACTTTCCTTCTGTTTTATTGCCTGAAATAGCTCAAATGGATTCTTTGTACTGCTTCTTTAAATAATTTCCTCAAGGTCAGTAGAATTTCAGATTTTGCAGAGGCATTTCTTCAGTCAAGAAATTTAACACTGATAATACTCAAAAATGCTAAAAATATAACTCTGGGCCTCATTAAGCTCTCTGTTCTGATAGCAACACAAATTCAAAAAAAAAAAATGTTTGAAACTAGATGATGCTATATTTGAGCAAACTCTACCAGCTAATTTATTGAATTCAAGTGGTACAACCAGGCTACCCACCTTCATCAGGATTTACAGGCAGGAGTTTTTGAGAACTGGGTGGGTGGAGCAGGTGGAAAGCAACCGGGAGCTGGAGCCAGAGCTACATGTGCTGGGCAGGAGCCTCCCACTGAAGCTTCCCACCCACTCACCCACAGCGATGCGGTGCAGCAGGGGCAGGAGCAGCACTAGTCGCAGCTGCAGCTGGAGGCAAAGGAAGCAGAATAATCTCACCAGTGCCAGCCAGCATGCAGCCCAGCCCAGCACAATGTGGTTCCAGCTGCAAGGTCAGGGACCATGTGGCATGGCATGCGACCAGCCCAGCCTGGCCTGTCCCCTCTGGACTGTGCTGTGTGGATCTGGGTCCCAGCCTTGCAGTGGGGAACTGTGTGCTTTTGGGATGGGCTGAGCTGGGCTGGCACCCTGCTGCACCATGTGGTAGCCAGCTTCAAGACTGGGACCCACACAGTGCAGCATGGAGCCAGCCTGGCCTGGCCCATCCTGACTGCAGCTCGTGGATCCCCACTGCAAGGCCAGGACCCATGCAGCATGGCACGGAAGAAATGGGCTGGGCTGGCTCCATGCCATGCCACATGGGTCCCAGCCTTGCAGCCGGGAACCGCGTGCCACAGACAGAATAGGCTAGGCCAGGCTTGTTCAATGCCACGTGGTGCAGTCCCCAGCTTTGCAGCTGGAAATGCGTTGTGCTGGACCAGGCCAGGCTGGCCCCATGCCACACCATATGGGTCCCAGCCTTGCAGCCGGGAACTGCACGCTGCAGCCAAGACAGTATGGGCAGGGCAGGCTCCCCACCTCCCACCATACTGCCACAACACACACCCACACCCTACCACAGACCCCAAACACACTCCCCCACACCATAACCACACACCCTACTAAAGCCCACACACACAGTCCCACACACCCCCATCATAACCCTACACACACTCCCACACCCCCACCATATCCACACACACACACACACACACACACACACACACCCACACACACACACACCAACCTCTTCCCAGACACCCCACCCCACCATACCTCCAAACACACCCACACCCTCCCCACAGCCCCCACAAACACTCTCAACCTCCCATCCCTTCCATATCCACACCCACATCCTCCTGTACACCCCCATCCCAACCACAAACCCCAAGCCCATACCCCTCCACACCCATCCCCTCACCCTCTCCCACACACCACACTCACCATACCCACACCCCACATACATCCCCCACATATACCCCCTTAGCACCCTACACACAATATATAAGATTAAGAGTGTATTTTGAGCTATTATGCAATTGCCTCTAGATACACTATGCAAACGCACATAAATCAATACAATTTTTTTTTAAAATAAAATTAAAATTAGTTATAGTAGAGGTTCAATTTTTTTTTAGCATATGATTTGGGGTTTTTTTCCAGTTTCAAGATGGCAACACCCTGCCCAAAAGGAATACTTCTGGGGCAAGGGGAGGGACTTCTGGTGGCCCAGGTCAGTGGTTAGGCACAAGACTGCAGGTCCCAAGGTGGCAACCAGGAGGTGGGATTACCATTGGGTCTCTTGACAGCTCACCAAAACTTGTTAAGCGGCCCTCCCTCCAGCTGAAATAATTGCCTTCCCCTGTTGTAAATGATAACCATGGAAATGATGCAGGGAATGTCCTCATACTCTCTTTCAAATGAGAGCACTCACAACTCATCAGCTGTCCTTTCTACTGGCTCCTAGTTCTGAGCAATTTTCTAAAAATTATTATAAAACGGTATCACTAGAGTTACAGTTTCCAAGATTTTGTCACTTATCTGCTTGTCTCTGAGATTAGTCCTTGTATTTCACAATGATTGGCGTGAAGCCCTGGTCAACAGCCAGTGTTATGAACCTGACTATAACTTTAAAATCGCAAAATTTGCATATTCTAAATCCTGAGATTCTTGCTTAATTTTCATCAACATTTTTAAACAGTTGTTCAAGGATTTAGATCTGCTTTGAGGGCTTCATGTTGATGCTGAGTTGATGCTTGATACACCAATCCTTCCTTGCCCCTAACCCCAGTTCTTGGGGAAACACAACCATGAAGCTAAAGAATTCATGCCAGTTGATAAGCAAAGCCCAGTGGCATGGGAAGGTTGATGGAGGCACACAACATATATTCTCCTCTTCATTTCCATCTCAGGGAAACAAGAAAGACTGGATGCAGTGTCCTCAGCTGACCATCAGATGAAAACTTCATCACTGCCTCAAAGAACAAAGCTGAAGGCAGTTTTGGGAGTAGTCCCACTGCTTGCAACTAGCAAATAAACTGAAGAATGAGAACTTCCCTCCAGCTGAATAGATAGTGGGTGCAGACAGAAACGCAGCTTCCCAGGCTAACTCCTGAGTTGGATCAATCCTCCCAAGCCAACATTAGCTGTTGGGTCAGAAGGGTGGATGATCAGCTCCAACTTGGAGCCAATCGAGGGAGAGAGGCTGCATCTCTGGGGAGGCATCTCTGCTGCCTCTCTCCCCTAGCTCTGCCTCCCCTCTTGCAGCTCCAGTGCAGTGTCCGGATGTGAGCGGTCCAGATATGAGTGGAGAGAAGGAAGGGGAAGGAGTTTGTTCTGGGAGTTCCCCAGCCACACTGGAGTGGGGGGCAGGTGGATTCGATCCCCCCACACTGAGGGGTCTCCAATTTACCCACCTCATCTTCCAGCACTGACTGGGCAACCCCCAGAACAAACTTCCTCTATTCCCTTCCCACCCCCACCCCCCACCATTCTGAAAACAGCATGGAGAGCACAGCTAGGCTATGTTAGCCAAGCCCTTCTCCCAGCGCACACAGACAGAAATTAATGAAGGAGCTCTGTTTTCGAGAGCCTTCATCTGCATTCAATGAGGGCTCAGATTGCCATGGGATCGGGCCCTTTTAAAGTGGTCTGCAGTCCTACACTTGTGTTTGGTCATAGCTGTAGACCACTTTCGGTGGCTGGATCAGGCAAAAATTGTCACATCTGTCTGCACCCACCATGCCAGTGTATTGGTGAAAAGGGCATAACTTCAAGCCAGTGGACTTAGGTTGGGTTAGCCCTTTTAACCATTAAATTGATCAGAAGCCAAGGTTAAAAAAGCCCAGAAACCAAAGAATAAGTAGGTAAAAGAAAAACTTAAATCTTTTAAGAAAAACTTATACGAAGGAAAAGGACACAGTCAAAATCTAGCACAATGCTCTTCCTGCTACAGGATCAGAAGGAATAAAATGACAAAGGTGCAGCATTTGTTAAATGCCCTGACCTGGTTGGATCAAATGAACATGGGCTCATGACTGCACATGCTGTAGATCCATTCAAGTAATACTCAACAAATACTATTTCCCAAATAATGTAAAGACGTTGATTGACCTTTTTTATACAATTATAAGGACTAAAGTTTGCTCTAAAATATTTCTGATTTTCTGAGTTGAAGTATGAGTGCTTCCTGATAAAAAAATATCTTGATTACATAATGGTGTAGCAAGATGTAATTTATGCAGGTCAGACTATGATTAAAATCAATAGGAATGAAGGTAAACCAGCACAGTATTTCCTTTTTATATGACTAGAACAGCACAAACCAAAACAAGTGATCGGCATCTTACATTTACCATGAACATACATGATTCTAAATATGATACTGAAAGCATTTAGCATATATACCTGGACCTCTTCTCTCATAATATTTACTGATAATTGTGCAGACAAGAATGCTGCATTGTGTTCAGATATAAATCTGATCCATACAGAATTTGTGGGCTCTGATTTTGTTTTTTGTTTTCAATAAATGTAGACTACATGGACTTGAAATATCTTTTTCATTTGTGTTCAAATTCAGTGCCAAATAGGAATATAAAATGAGCAACAATTAGCAGTAGTTAACATGGTAGAATCATTATCAATTCCTAAAATGAAGCTCCCAGTTTTTAAAAAATGGTTCAAATTCCTCATCTGAGGTAAAAAGAGAGACAGAGAAGACAATGAGGAGGCTGAGACTAAATAGAAAATATATAGTGCATAAGGATTTAATGATACAGATCATTTCTGGATGTAATGTTCTTATCTGGATAACATTTTACCGGACCAGTCAACCTAACAACAAGCCTACTGCCTGCATCGTTATAATTATCTATTGAAATCTACATTGGTTCTTGAGAGGAAAGAGAATAGAATTATGTACCGTGATCTTGATCAGGGGCTTCAAGGTTGTAACCATACCCAAGAAGGGTGCGTACTGCCTCCCGGAGGCTATCTTTGTTTGATTTCTTGGTACGATCATCCAAAAGAGCATATGGGACAAGGCGGGGGTTCCGGCGATTCTTCACATCCTACATGGGGTAAAGGATTAAAAATCACCACAGTGTTGGAGACTATGCTGAAATAAAACTTTTTTCAAAAAATAAAATGTTACTAGAAGATAAAATGCACTATAATGACTATTTAAAAATTAAAAACAATAAAGAAGGAAATGAGAACTTGGGTAATGACACAGGAATAGAGTACAGATTTTGTAGAGGAAGTTAAGTTTTTTAGAAAGATGCTAACATTGAATTTAAAAAAAAATTCACAAATATCCACATTTAATGGAATGGCTTAAGTTTTTGTCCATTTCCCATCAAATAATTAGTTTAATAGAAACACATTCACATAAGCCAGCTATGAAACTCAGGGTCAAAAAGTGAATAAACTACAAAAGGTTAGAAAAAGGATGATCTTCTCTGCTTGTCCTGTTTGTAAAGCAACTAGCACAAAGGGGTCCTGATCTCCAACTCGGGGTCTCTGGGCATTTGCTCCAGGATGCAACGAGGGGTGCTTTAATTAGCAAACCACACTAATTAAAAGCATCTGTGCATTACTTATCAGCATCCCCATGCTGAAAAAATGGTGGCAGGCGACTTTGAACTAAAGCTCATTGAATGTGTTTTATTTCAAAGTGCCCTGCCGTCATTTTTTTTAACACTGAGATGCACAGGGACACTGATACATGTGATGCAAAAGGCTACCAGAGCACATCAATTTCCATGCTCCAGCAGACTCGATTAATTGAGTCTGCTCCGATGCACAGGATTTCTAGTGCATTGGAGCAGACTCCCCACATGTGTATAGGAGCCCTTAGGCACTTTGGCAGTACAAATGGATCGACAATGCCATTGGGCATTTTGCCCAAGGAATGGGGAGCAGAATCAGACCAAGTTTACAACTTAAAAAAAAATAAATAAAATGCTGCTTTTATTGTGAAATATTCAAAGCATATATCTTTTTCTCCAAAGAAATTAATGAAGTTTTCAATCATGCTACAAATCTGAATGTAAAGGCCCTTCACCCAGGTTGGTGCTCTACTTCTGGAGTTTTATTTGTGTAACACAAGTTGATTACATGGAGATCTCCTCTTCCACTAGAATGAATGTACTTGGTGAGTTTTTTTTAATTATTTGGGATTTTTTTAAAACATAAAATTGACTATGGCTTGTTGTTGTTGCCTTTTCCAATGTTATTTCAACTGCAAATGTTGCTTAGGTGGTTTTAGCACAATCAGTGATGGCATTTTTTAGTTTTATAATTATTTGCCTTTCTAGGTTTTCATCTTCTCACTTGACAGCATCTGTAGGAGGTGACAAGAGCAGCCACAGAAAAGTTCTCTCCACATCCTTACTGAATGTGTGGAAAAAAGAAGGTTTAATATGTCATAATATGCTGGCTGTTGTTTTAGGAATAAAGAACAAAGATGCTGAGTGTTTTCTGCTGCTGAGCAATGCCAACAGCTGAGAATATGAACATTTCAAAAAATTCTGTCTTTGTTAAAAGTAATTTAATGATGTTCTTCTATTACATAATGGTCCTGATTTTCAGAATTTGTCAATTTCTCCTTGATATAACATTTTTTTTCCTAAATAAAACCAAAATATAGCGTATAGTAAGAACAAATACTTGCAGATATGATCCTTCTCTGGTAAGTAGACACTTAAGTGTTCTAGGATGTCTTTTTTAGCCTGAGAAAATGCACCCTCAGTTGGTTGCTAGTGAAAGCAAAAGAACTGGTCTTACCTGTGAATTTTCTTTCCAGGACAAGCCACTTTAAATACTATTTTATAAAAGAATGGCATAAGTATGCTAAATGGGCCATCAGAAAGATAAAAGGCAAGGTACACAAAATACCAGGAACAAGAACTTTAGAGCTCACCCAATGAGAGGAGCAGTGACAAAGCTGATAGATCACTTTTCCTTTATGGAGACCAAACAGTCCTTTTCCCGGCCTTCTATTCTACTGTTCTCAAACCACACTCAATCTGACTTCACTCTTTTGCAGAAGTAATATATGGTAGACAAGTGTTCCAGAAAGTGGTGCCTTGTTAATCCTTACTAAGTCATTTTCTTATCTGCACAAAGTTATGTTGAATTGTCTTACTAGGAAAAAACTACTGTTTCCTGTTGAAACTGTTTGTGAAGAAAAAGAAAGCAAAACCTTGTCTACCTTGTAACTTTCCTTTCTAGAATCACTGAGGTTCTGTTCTTTCATCAAAACATTGCTGATGCAAAAGTAATTACTTATTTGTTAAGCAATTTAGAAGAAAGAAAGGAGTAGATTTTCTTCAGGGAAAGTCCTACATTTCTTGACAATGTTCTGCTGCCAATGGATAAGTTGACAAGTACTGAATGACTTTTATACAATTAGTTTTTTTGAGTTTCAGAAGCCATATTTTGGAGAGTTCTTACTAAACTAATTTTGATTGGTCTAAGTTACTGTTTGACTTCAGTTACTAGACACAGGAGGGGAAGACCTATGATAAAGGCTGACTGATAGGAGGTGAACCGAGAAATTGAAGAACAAAAATCTGAAGTCATTTCTGATAAACAAGGCCTATGTATTTTATGATATATCTTCATATTCACAGTGTTTTAATGAAACATAAAAACAACATTAGTCATTTAGACCTGAATTTGAGCTTGTTGACAGGGAGAAAAAAAACATGGGGACTAGAAAAGTGCCACTAAATATATGCAAGGAAAAGAATATAAGAATACAGTGGGTCCTAAATTAGCATAGGTATACAGATATGGCAGAAATATGTATTCCAAAGACTCATATTAGACAATCAGTGATCCACACTAATACTATGGTAGCTGTTAGAAATGGGAGGATATCACAAAAAATGCATATAGACACAAAGCAGACCATTTATGAGACCACTATAACTTCCATTACAGACAATGAATCAGGACTGAAACACAGTAGGAAGAGATAGAGACGCGTATAAAAGTGCATGCATGCGTGCATGCACGCACACTATGTATATATGGAAGACAGACAGAACAAGCAGTATATGATTCAGTGAGTACTGCATCATGTAGAGAGACAGAGACCACATTAAGGTAAAAGTGAAACCACAAGACTGTCTGCAGAACACAGACAATAGCTGCACAGAATACCGCAATAATAAAACAGCCAACTTATTCAAGCAGCTGCAAGAATCTTTTAAAGAGAGATTAAAAAAAAAAAAAAAATAATGGTCAAGGTTGTACACTTACCCCTAAGAGACATGTTCTGAAGTGACACGCACTAATGTAGTCTTTAGTACTACAAAGTAGAAAGCTACTTATGTTCATTATATACAATTGAGTTAATGCACTGTTCTGCTCTTACACTATGCTGTGGAGTTTAGTGATAGTACAGGTAATCAGCTAAGTGTCTAAGGAGGAGAAAGACACAATTTGGCACACCTAACAGTGCCTCTCAAAGAAGAGTAAGTAAAAGGAATAAATTATAGATATATGTAATAAGAGAAGCAAGAGTGACATGGATAATCAATATGATCACTATTTCATTGACTTCAAATGTCAGGGTATTACAGACATGTATTCTTCATGGAAACCAAATTTTTCATTTCCATAGCCAAAGATGCTGGAATACACCAAGATGAATAATTGATTGTCAGACACCATCCATGGCAATTTAAGGCACATACTGTCTTGAAAATGGATCTTATTTCAGTATCAAATATGATATTTCCTATGAAGGATTATGTAGGAGTTAGCTCCCTACCCAGGATGATTTCTCTACTGAAGTTTTAATACCTTCATCCCTGCTGAAGAACATGGTATAATTAAGTAAAGCCAGTGATTTTTGCCTAACCACAGATGTAAGCAATATGATAGATACATCAGGCTAGGTGTTAAACCACTATCTTTATTCATCACTTGTAGCTATATGCAGTGGCATGGAGACAATGGCAAAAATGGACTATGACTCTTTTGAAGAATAAACAACAGATAGGATCTTGCTCCTGGATAACTGAATAAACATCTCTACTAGGTAATAGTCCTATCATAGCTAGATACTTCGGTAAGTGACCCACAGAGCTAATGTATTTCAACACTCTTCCTTGTGATCCAACAAGACCATGTTTTTTCATCCAGTTACATGAACACCATTAGAAGGGATCACACAGAACAGAGGCATTGAACATGTATTCCATTACAGAGACATGATTACACAACAGCTTATTTCATGCATCTTTCTAAAGGCACAAATGCCCTCTGTGCCATTAGCATGTTAAACACCAGGACTAGGGACAGACATTCTGAACCTGAACTGATTCAATCTTTGCAGGTTAGTCTAACCTGGCTAGGCTTGAACCGGTTTGTAACCAGAAAGTCATTTTCTCTGGACTCAGTAAATTCAGCACATGCCTGCAGTGGCTCAGGCTAGAAGCTGGGGGGTGCTAGAGCAGCCCTCCCTTCCCATCTGCAGGGAGCTAAGCTGAGGGGGGCATGGCCAGGTCTGGGCAGGATGTTCTGATTAGGAAGGTCTGCCTGCACCGTCCCAGGCTTTTCCCCACTTGCGCTCAAGAGGCGGAGTGTTGCCAGATGATACGGAACTTTTCAATCTCCCCCCTGCTTCTTTATCCTGTCTGCAGCAAACTGGCAGGCAAGCAAGCCAGCAGAGGGCTCATAACAATGTTTATCACCCGATCAGCAAAAACAATAATCTCTCTCCATTACTTCAAACTCTTCTTAAACAGCTTACTAGCTGACCTGTTGACTAGCTCCAAACAGCCCTAAGCAGTCACTGTTTTGTCTGCCTGTCCCAGTGAAATTGAAGACCTGTACACATCTGCATTAGCTAGTATACCACATGTCTAGGGTCTGCGGGGGTGGGGTCTGTGCTGTGGGAGATGGGAGGGAGGGGGGCATTTCCTGCTTCAGCAGTGAACCATGGGGGGGTGGGGAGGGGGAGGGCAGGGGGAAGCCAGGCAAACCCTGCTGTACCTGCAGTCTCTGCTGGAGCTCCAGCCAGGGAGCAGAGGGGAAGAGCCAGCCCTGTTGTGGAGCAGAGAGACCTGCTCAACCCAACGAGCATGTGAGGAGGCTCAGAATGTCTGGCTTATCTTAAACCAGCAAGGGGTCTGGGACAGACATTGCATAAACCAGTTTGAGCCAAATCAGTTAAGACTGATACTACATTCAACCAGGATTATCTCAAACTGGTTTCAGCCATTTTCAAACTCGTTTATGTTCACTGAGCATCTGTTCTGTTACAAGTTTAAACCAGTTTCTGATCACTTTAACTGGTTTATGTGTAATGTATGTCCTTAGCCCATGGGTTTGATTGCCAGCAATGCACAGTATGCCTGTGCGTGATACATAGAAGGAAAACAGGAGACTTTTTTTTTAAATGTTGTCTAAACCTTTCTGATTCAGAATAACATTGTATCTTGCACTTCACATACTTTTCTCCATACCAAGGATGTAAATATTACAATATGAACATATCATCATAACTTTGGTATTCCCATTTTGCCTAAATTCTGTAATTAGCATACACATACATTTCCTATAAGTACATTACTTCTAACCAAAATGTATTGCTACTGCCACCACTGTCAGTAATACATGCAAGTCAAACTTAAAGACTCTTAAGACATAGCACACAAGTTATCTGTGTTAATATAATGCTATAAGAACAATTTATTTTACTTTTGAATCTTGTTGGGGAGTTTTTTTGGGGGGGGGCGGAAACTTACATGGATTTTTTTTGTATCCTACTGCAATTGTATGCCTGAATTTGTTCATTACAAAATGGCTTAGTATTGACATAACAATATAAAAAAGAAAAAAAAAGTGCAAATACATTTCTAAAATAAATATCTGCTAAAATTTTAAGCCAAAAGAAGCTATTGACTAAATATATTCTTCTTATACTGTTAGCAGCATTAGCATTCTGCTCACCTCTGTCAAAATAGTTAACTGAATGCCTCAAAGTACTAAAATATCTGAGAGCCACAAGGGGTAGAACTTGATACTCAATTTTTTTTTAATCTATTCACTTTTTGTCTTTCCATTGTTTGTACCATAAATATATATCATATGGTTATCCAGCTATCTAGCTGCTTTATATTTATCATGAAGATCTTTAATCATAAATTAAACTAAACTTTTAAAAAAATGAAAAAATACAGAATAATGACAACAGCATTTTATACTTTCAGTTTTCACTGAAACTACACAAATAGTCCAAAGAACTATTATTCTTAATAAGTCTTAGCAAAATTGTAGTTGACCATGTTAAAAAGTGCCTCAAATTTATTAATCTCAGAAAAGAAATAAGATTACTAAAATTTCCCTTTAGGGACAAATTCTGCCTTTGGAGAAAGATATATGCAATTTCCATTGCCTTTACTAGAAATTTCAAGAGCTTACAGGTGACAGAATATTTTATTAGCTGCCTTCAAACTAAAGAAATGTACTATACAAAACTATAATTAACAGCAGTAGAAATAACATAAAAATTAAAAGGCATGTGGTATTCCTTACAAGAATAGAACTCAACTTTATATACCTTAACAATAAGGCAACATTATTTTCTCAATGCTTTGTTACACATTATACTTTAACCATCTCATATGTGGACTGGTGTTACTGTTTGTTTGAGTTTAGAGCAGTCATACATTCAGGCTAATAATCTTCTCTGGCTGTCCCTGATTTACAGAGCTGTGACTTGCCACTAGAGGCCTGGTGAGCAGGGGTCTGATTAGGAGCTACAGCTGTGAGTTGTCACTAGAGGGCTGGTGAGCCAGAATAAGCTTCTATCCCTGCTCTAGGTCGGGGGGTGTTGGAAAGATGGGCTGATGGGGGTGGGAGCCTGAGGCTGGAAGGCAGAGCTTAATGATGAGGACTGGGTAGTAAAATGGGAGGTAGACAGGCAATGGGTGGGAATGGCATCTGGGGATTGGGTGCTGAAATGAAGGAATTCAGCCACTAAAGCCACTAAAGGATAAAATAAAAGCAGTAAAAAAGATAATTTAAAAAGAAATAAAGGGTAAGTAAAATTAAAGGAAGTCTCATGTTTTAATAAACTGGGATTGGGTAGCCCCAGATCATGGGGACACTGCCACTGGTCCTGCCCCAGAAGGGAAACCCTAGCTCATGGGGATCCCAGTTTGCTACCCTACCTTGTTCCCCTCTTCCTCCTGGACTGGTCTGTGCCCTTGCATTCAGGGGGTGGAACCATCTGTCCACACAGAACAGGAGGGTGGTGGGAGGGGACACTGCATCCTGGGATGCTGGTGGACTGACACTTGGACAGCTTCTCTCTGAAGAAGGCTACACATTCATGGAACACAAGCTGGGTAACATGGATCAGAGAAAAACCTGTTGGGGGGGGGGGGCATCATTTTAAGACACCTAAAGGATGTTTACAACTAGTTTACATGTCTTAATGTGTGGATAACCCAGGGGTTAAGAGCTCCCTGAATGGCCTAAAATTAATGTAGAACAAAAGAGGTACAAGTAACGACCCTTTAGTTTTTTTTGGAGTGGGTGGTAGAAGGGGGGAATGTAGGTTATTGCTCTTGGTTTTGTTTTTTGCTTGTCTGTGTCATTCACCTGCATGTCCCTGTTAATGCTCCTCCTCTTCTCAGCAAGAAGAAAGCTTGATCAGATCAGCATTGAATGGGTAACTCCTAGCAAAACACATTGTCCACAGGCCCTGTCTACATGGAGCACAATTTGCAGCACTAGTATTTTGGGCTCAGGGAAGCTAATTTATTTTGACTTACAACATGAAGAGTGGGGGAGAACAAGAATTTTTAAATGCCTAAATACAAAGAGATATTCATCCGCTACTTTTATTTTCTGCAAGAAAAGCTACACTCAATATAATGTATACAATTAAACCTGAATTTCTGTTTATAACATAAGTATAACATAAATCCTACTTTTCTCCCATATGTTGGGCCATAGGAACTAAGGAATGGCTGTAGGTCTAGTCAGCAGGGATGGCAAAAAAACAACCCAGGAGACTTTAGAAAAGCCTATGCGTACTACAAAGTTATACTCCATGAGTCTCCATTTGTGCTAGTGCAGACAGGGGCCTTTGGAGGCATAGGTGGCTAAAGGTCATATCATGGCCAATGTATTCACGTGCGTGTGGCTTCATCTGCCAAATCATATAAAGAAAAGAGAAAATGGCTGCAAAGGAACTACAAGAGAGAGTGCAGCCAAGGTTTGGCAGGAAGGGTCCCACAACCCCCAGCTCCAGGAGACCCAAAGTTCCAAACCCCAAACATTTTTAAATCATGAATCAGGAGCCCAAAATACCATTAAATGAATCTGAAGTTCTTTTTACTTGCCTTCTGAACTTTGATTCTTTAGGGATCATGTTTTCAAACTAACCGCCACAACTATAAGGGCTAAAAACTTACTTTTTAATGAAAGCTGAGGTTCTCAAGCATTCCATGACTCTTGGATCTAGGCCTTTATGAAAAACACCAAATATCATAAAACTAGGGACACAGTTATAAGAATTGGCAACAATGCAAACCCCATTTATTCAGGAGGATTTAGCAGTAAATGCAGTCTTCCAAACTACAATTCTATTTTTACTCATTTTGATCACAAACATTTTCAAGCTGAAGTTTGGTGAATTATACAACACAGAGATGAACAGTCAGGGAATTCCAAGCTAGTGTTGAACCGCATAGAAAGAAAAAAAAATTACCCTTAGTGACTAACCAAGGACTTCAAGGGCATTATACCAGGGCATATTTAGTCTGCTGCTTGGATCTAATTGCTTTATCTGTTTCAGATCACATATGTACAACTCCTTCAGTTCAGAGATGACCAACATAAAAACAAATGTTCTCCCTTAAAGGGACACTGTCAAGTATTTTCATATTCTTTTTAAAGTTATTTTTCACTTACCATCAATAATAGTTAAGTACGTTTTATAAGCTAAAATATAGAAACATATTTTTCCTACCTGATTTGTGTCTTTTGCATTTATATGGAGCTCAAGCTAATATGGCTCTGCCTGGTTTACAATACTTACTTGTTTGTGATCAGTGTCATCATTGATGTCAGCACAGTTCTGGGAACAGGGTTTATTAGTTAACTTGTGCTCTCTCTGCTGGCTGGCTGGTTGGCTCTGCAGCAGCGGAACAAAAATACTGCATATAGTCATGCAAAAACAGTTGCTATCACTTCTTAATAAAGTTCTGGTAAATAGTAGTGGAATTAGGAAAAAAAAACTATGAAGAGTCAAGAAAGTATTTCCTCACCATATTGTAATAATAAAAATGGGATATATTTAGGGTCTATCCTACTTGACAGTATCCCTTTAATCTGTGGCAGTTTTAGGATCACAGAGCTATAGAAATTAGAAGTGGAAAAGATTTATTTAGATCACCCAGCCAGTGCATAATTGTTCACAACTATCCAACCTACTTACAAATCTCTGTAAAAAAATGGGGCCTCCTTTCCAAGAGAAACTGTTCCACTCAGCTACTTGATTTCACTGTGTGCAGTATGAGAAAGCATGCCATCACATTACCTTACACAGTACTGTAACATGTCACAGTAATATGATGGGATGACAAAATGTAGCCCATGACAGAACCCAGTGTGGAAGCAGAAGCATATATTAAAACAGAAACGGCTAGCAGCTGACCATATGGTATGTATGTCAGAAGTAAATAACAAGAAGCTTCTTTTTCTTTTTTTACTGCCTACAAAAGCACCTTGCCATTTTATTCTCCTCTATTAGACATGTAATGAATGGTATTTGTTACTTAAATACTATAATTAGCATTGGTGATTTACTTCTACATGTTTGCTCCAGAATAAAAGAGACTAGTTTTTCAAAAGAGAAGTGATGGAAGGCACGGGGAGGGGGACAGGATGGGACATAACACCAATAATTCAGAGATAATTTACAGCTGGCCCTACAAGAATATGTCACTAGTGTGTAAGGAGACCATCCTTTTTCTTACACCTGATGCCACCATAATCTGGATAAAAAGGTTAAGAATGTACCCCATCCCAGAGGGCGTACATCTTGAGCAGAATGCAAGTATAGCTATGACAGTGCCCACATGACCCTAAAATAAGTCTATAAGGCTAGGGACAGACATTCAAAAAGCCTGATCCTGAATTCAGTGGGAACACATAGGGAATGCACAGGGGGTGCACATGCACCCCCTGAGAATGATGGTGCACCCCCTGACTGGCCCCGCTCACCGTTGCACTCCTGGAGCAGCCACAGCCACTCCCAGAAGTGTCCACAACCACTTCCGCAAATGGCTGCAGCGATTGGCTGGAGTAATCAGCTGCCTCATGATCGGTCACAGGGGGACCCTCCACCCCACTCGCTGACTGGTCACGGGGGGGGGGGGGGGGGGGTCACATGTCCCCCCTGACTAAAGCAGTACTAGTCACCCATGCCTGAATTGATTCAATCTTTGCAGGGTAGCCTAAACTGGCTAGGCTGAACTGGTTTATCTAGACAGACATTCTCTCTGGTCTGAGGAAATTCAGGCACATGCCTGCAGTGGCTCAGGCTAGAAGCTGGGGGGTGCTAGAGCAGTCCTCCCTTCACTTCTTCAGGGAGCTGAGCTGAAGGAGGTGTGGCCAGGCCTCCAGCAGGACTCTCATTAAGGAAGTCTGCCTGCACCGTTGCAGGCTTTTCCCCGCTGGCTGCTCAAGAGGTGGGAGTGTTGCCAGCCCCCAGCCCCAGGCTAGCACTCTGAGGCAAGGGGGAGGGGGTGCAGTGCATGCATCTGTTGATGATACAGAGCTTTTCATTCTCCCTCCCTGCTTCATCATACTGTCTGCAGCAAACTGATAGGCAAGCAAGCCAGCCAGGGGTGGGGGCTGATAACAGTCTTTAGCACCTAATGAGCAAAACAATATCCTCTCTCCACATTATTTCAAGCTTCTTAAACAGCTTACCAGCTGACCTGTTGATTAGCTCCAAAAGACCTAGGCGGTCACTGTTTTTTCTGCCTATCCCAGTGAAACTGGAGAGAGAGAGACACACTCAGACACCTCTCAGCATTAGCTAGCATACCACAGTCCCTGCTGTGGCAGAGAGGAGGAAGGGATCTCTGCTTAAGCAGCAAGTGGTGAGAGGGTTGTGAGAAGGGGGCATGGGAAGCCAGCAAACCCTCCTGTGCCTGCAAGTCTGTGCCAAGCTCCAGCCAGGGAGCAGAGGGGAGGGGCCAGCTCTGCTGTGGAGCAGAGAGCCTCTCCCAGCCCAGACAGCATGACGGGATCCTGGTGGACTCTAATTTAACTTAAATCAGCAAGGGGTCTGGGACAGATATCGTATAAACCAGTTTGAGCCAAATCAGTTAAGTCTGATACTACATTCAACCAGGTTCATCTCAAGCAGATTTCAGCCATTTTTAAACTGGTTTATATGCACTGAACATCTGTTCTGTTACAGGTTTAAACCAATTTCTGATCACTAAACCAGTTTGTGTAATTTCTGTTCCTAGCCTAAAACATGTTATAGCCAAGGGTGCTCCACTCAGCAGGCTTCATGGACCAGATCTAATAAGGGAGTCAGGTATAATGGGTCAGATCTAATAAGGGAGTTAAGCAGAATTCAGGCACTTGAATCCTGAAAGCATCTGCCTAGCCACCACTTAAAAGCCCAAAGTGCCTCAGATCAGTACTTTAAAAGTTCCTCAGGTGCTATGAGTCATGTCTCTGTATAAGTGCAGAATTGCCCAAACCTTAATAGACCTGGGCAGCTTGGCACCTGTTTTTAACCTATGTACCACTGGGATACAGAAGATCTGTTCCTCTGCCTATTTCCCCTGAGTGAAGAGCACTTCTCAGGCATATTTTAAAACCAAGCAGCCAGAGGTGGTAATGGTGGTGTCACCGCTAGTTCCTCTTCCCCCTATGTGGAAAAATCAGGAAATGGGAGCCTCAGGTTTTCATGAAGAAACCAAAATAACACTTCAACAAAAAAGATGGAGAGTTCCTTCAATTCTGAATAGCCAGTAGCCTGGTGGGTAGGACACTTCCTTTACAGGTGTGTTTGACTCCACTGAGACAGTGTCCCACTTTTTGGGGTAATTTCCCTAACCACTAAGGTAATACATAAAAATGGGTGCATTTGTTGTTGCTGCCTCCTATTTCCAGTTTATTATAAAAGAAATAAGTGACCCCTGGGTAAGCAGGCTCTTGACTCCTGAGAGAAGAAGGGTGCCTCCCTGAGCTCTGAGCAAGGCTTCAGAGGATCTGCCTTTGCCCTCAGTTGTTTCCTACAGTCTTGTTCTAGGCAGCTATACAGTGAGCATGCCACTTTTAGAAAGCTCCCTGGTTTGAATGCCATTCTGGGGCACCAACCTCTCCCAACAAATGTATGGGGAGCTCCAGCACCTGCCACCGGGTCCTGGAACCCACCCTGTGGGAAAGATGCCTAAGCGGGTCAGGGTGTATTTACACAGCACAACACAGCACCATGTAAAGAGTGCTAAGCTAGTTCTGAGCAAGCTAGAAGTTGTATACTCAGGGCTGGCTAATTAGTTTTCATTACTAAAAAAAAAAGAGAGAGAGAAGTTATATTAGCCGATACAGATCACAGCAGTATCATAGCTATGCTGCTTCTGGTATCAGAGCTAACTTGTTCAGAATTAATCCCATACTCTGCGCAGCTACAAATTGTTACAGCCAATTTTAGAAAGCGATCCACAAAGGTACTTAGGTACCTGGATTCCACTGATACCAAGTCCTTTCTTGGACCTAACCTGATGCTTTCCTGGAGTGCTTTCTGGGACCTAACCCAATACCTAATCCCAGGGCACTTACACTTTGAAAAGCCTTCATTGGCTTTTAGAAGCCATAATTTAGTTTTACAACTGATAGCTTCTGTAACCTATTTTCTACAAAGAGTCTTCCAAAACTATTTTTCTGCAAAAAGAGCCCAAAGAAATGAAAAGTCTGAATAAGATGAAGAAACAGTGGGAATGTCTACACGGTCATTAATGCACCTCAGTTACTGAGCATTAAGTTTAGTATTGGGATAACCAAGTACTAAATTAATGTGCAGTAACTCACACTACTGTGCAGTAACGCTGATGTATGGATTTTTTCAGACAACATCTGCACAGTAGCCTAATACTACTGTGCAGCAGTGTATTAGCTCAGCTTTCAGTGAGCACACTACTGCACAATGTTATTAGGCAACTATACAGTTGGTGTTTCATGTAGACACACCCAATATCTGCCACCTATTGCTGCTCTGCCTCTTCTCCTCCTTCACAACCCAACAACATAAAAAAAAAAAAAAAAAAAAAAAAAGATTCCTCAGCTGGTATCACTTAAACTACCTTCATCAATAGGCATCTCACTAATTCAAAAATTATATAATTTAATTGCAAAGTTTACTGTAATAAATATGGAAAAATTACTTATGTTCTTTCTACACAAACTCAGATATTCAGAATAACTTCCCTCAAGACCCAAGGAACTTCAATCATTATATATATATTAATTACTTTGGATTATGGGCTTAATTTTTTCTAATACTTTCAAATACTGGTTTGAAAAGCGATTAGCAAATTCTGTATACACACACATTACACTCTTAACTTCCTATTAATCACCACATTCTATTTGAATTATCAAATTTCATTTTAGAAATAGTGAAGCTACCATTGATTCCACTGAAGTTATAAAACCCCAATTTTCACTCATGTTGAAATCCCCTCATTGTCAAGGCTCTGCACTGTAATCTTTTGGTTTCTAGCAGAAATAGAAATTATGGGATGAACAGTGCAAGTAATTGATTGCATTCTGTAATCTAGCAGGACCTCATCATTGAGCATTAAGGGCGCACATCCAAACAAGCGTGTCGTGCAATATGTGGCAATGCAAACACATTTGCAGTGCCATATACTGCACAGTCCAGAGTTCTCCACACTGCAAGGGCACGCTGCACGAGCGTGCGCTGCTCTGTTTTGGTTTTTTCACCTGAAGTTTTTTTTGACCCCTGATACCCAGGGGTCAAAAAAATGCATAATAAAAACCCTGAAGCAGCACACACTCAGGCAGCATGCGCTGGAATCGCTGCGGCTGCAGCTCTGGGAGGGCCCCCAGGAGCCCAGGTAAGGTTGCTGGGGCCAACAGTGCTGGCCCCAGCCTCCCCTATCCCCATCTGGGGTAACCTACCACGTGGCAAAGCACATGTGGCATGGGTGCCCCCCAGGGACAAGAAGTGGCAGCACAAGGTGCACTACCGCTACTTGTCCCTGGGGAAACACACACGTCTGGAAACACCCAAAGAGGTTGTCTTTCATCTGGGAAAGGAATGTAATGCTCTCCTAAAACCTCAATACAAAATAGTGGGCTCAAAATAACAAATCTGATTTTCCTACATGTCAATGCAGAGAACTCTTTCTCCTGTACTCTATTAGAAAAAATCTTTCAGAAATATAGACACCTTTGAAGTCTATTTTACTCTACAGTCACAGATGCAACATTACAGACAAATTCCGTCCTGTTCTTACCAGTGGACTTACACTACTGCTGAATGTACCCCTAAATGTCTACTCAACTGATACAGAGACTTATATAAAAGATATCCAAAATATCAAACTGTTTTATAAAATATTTTAAAAGCTCCAAAGTGAATGTTATAAAATAAAATACAGTAATGGAATGTTCCAGAAAAGTTATATCATATATTTTCCCAAAAAAGCATCAAAATGTGATGAATGGAATTTAGTGACTAACTTAAATAAAATTATAAAAATAGCAGATTGGGGTTTTTTTGACACAAGACACAAAGCTTTATTAGAAATGGCACTAAGTTTTGTTCTTGCACAAAAAACAAATCCCAGGTGTGCCAAACTGCAACACATAATTTGAATGCTTAGCAAAACAAGAAGCAAGTTTTGCAGGCACAAAATGGTTGTGATCCTACAAAAATGCTGTTTCGTTTTTGCAAAAATGATGATATTTCATGCCCAGTGCAAATCTATGAAAACATTTTTTTTTTCCCTGAGCATGGATTTTTCTATAGTTTCACTGTGAAATGCTACCATACTTTATTGCCAGATGGGAAAATTCTTATTCCTGGTTTAAACTGACACATAAGCACAAAAGGACTGGAGATATATTTACAATTAAAAAAACAAAATATACTGGTTGTCATAAAAAAAGTTATAGCTACCACAAATTACAGTTGTTGTTTACCCACCAGTGTTTTATTTATTTACTTTTTCTAAGGGAGAGAGAGGCCTTGAGTTTTCCTGCTTGCAATCCACCATGCTTTATTTTTACTTTACCTTGACACACAATGAAAATTCACCACCAGAATTAGCTTTAAGGGAAACAAAAAAGCAGAAGTCTGACTCCATCAAGGGGACCTTATTGCCCGCTTACTCTTAGTGGTGGTCCTCAAAAATCAGAGGCAATGAGTATTGGCCATAGTAACTGGGAATAGTTTACGTTCTTGCCACACTGTTTTACAAAAAATTGTGCACCAGATAAATTAAAGAATTTGGTCTCCAGGGACTCCAGGTCAGTAAATGTTTCTCCGATATAAATCATGCTTTGAGAGGGTCATTATATAGTACCTTTGTAAGCACAGGGGACTCAAGACTTAATCTGTGGGCTTTAGACAGCATGATATGTGTCACAAACTTTCTTCTCCAGAAGAATACAAAGATAAATCTGAAATTTCATTTTGGTTACCAAGGAGCATACTCTACTTTTTACAGATCAGTTATTTACTGTCACCAAGTTTAGCAGTGGGAATCTATTAAATAAAAATGTAAACTATAAAGCCAGTGGTTTTCCCTCTGGACCAGATGGCTAATATTCATTCAGATGCTTTGTCGGATCTTACATCCCTTGTTTAATTGCACAACACCTCAATATGTGACTAAACCTGCAAGTACCCAAATTTGCACTTACCTGCTGAATACCATATGTCCAACCCTGCCTGATACGGTCCCTTGCCCACACATTATGAGCATTCTCTGCTAATTTATCCACCATAGCTTCCTGAGAGGGGGTCAGCTTGATAAAGCTCAGATCCATGGGAGTAGGCTTGTATCCACTTGACAACTGGTAACTGTCAAACAATGTAGAATTTGCAGTTGGTCATTTTTTATCATCACATTTCTGTTAGAAAATGTTGATAGCAGATATTATGGAGATAAATTATTCTAACTGTTGATAACAATAAAAAAAATAAGCATGTAACATTTATCCAGCTACAAATGTTGAACACTATAAGAATAATGCATAGAAATTTGGCTGTTTCAAATTAACTATATTTGGATTGAAACAAGCAGCTCATTTCCTTAAGTGCTATGAGTAGTTATAGAGGTAATTCAAAAGGATCTCAGTGCAGAAAAGCTTTGATGCATATATTGTTACAGTTCTTTACATGTTTACAGCTTTGAAAAAACTTAGTGCTTATTACAAACCTTAGAGGCCTCTGGGTTAAGTATTATTTTATGATTTCTGCAGAGAGCATTATTTCTGAACATTTCACACACTGTTAATCCTTCCCTATGTGGAGGCCCAGTTCCAAGGGCTTTCAGAGAAGTATTGTGATGCTTATAATCCAGAAAGCAACTCTTAATGGCTGACAACCTGGCTAATGATTGACCTGTGTTCCATCTATTATGCTTAGCAATGGTAGCTGAAAAGTCTGCAGTGGTCAGATCCAAGTTTCTTGATATTGCTTTAACCCTGGTAAATTTCCTTATAGGACAGATATGGGTAAACAATATGCTGGTTGCAATAGTTGATCATCCATGCTCTGCAATAACTGCTAAAGTTATAAATAGTTGAATATCTAGATAGGTCACTGGTCTGGAAACACCACAATTCATTCATATTCATGATCTCAAGTAGCCAATAAAGGAAAACTGACTATAAATAATATTCTGGCATCCTTCAAAGTTACCTTATTTGTAAACTGTCTGCAATAAAATACCAGCTCATAAATTAATCTTTTGATTTCTATTCAATTTAAGACAGAATATCAGCAATGGATTTCCTATAACATTACTAAATAGATATATACATATGGGCACTCTATTTATGACTAGATCAAAATGACACAGGAAACCAGAAATGCTAAAATATGAATATAGTTTAGTTAGTCTGATCAAACAACAAATAAATATTTTTTCTATTACCCAATGGTATTACAACAAATAGCATGTACCTTGTGTAAAATAAAGGTAGACAAATAATTTGCCCTTATCATTTGTTTTTTGTTCATGAGACTTTTGTGGCAGGCTAGGATCCAAAATTGCTGATTTTAGACCTGTGTGTGTTAATCTTCTTTGGATCAAGGCCTACTATGAAAATCTGCTTAGCTCATTACATCTTTACATATAAGATTCTTTAAATCTAAGGTATGATAAAGTCTCTCTACAAACACAGGTAGAGTAGTTAGTTTCTCTTTAATTTGACTGTACAGTAATCAGACTTTCAAAAGGCCGAAGTGAACACCAAGATAGCATTAATCTGATCTGCTGACAAAGCACAAAAAATCAATTTTGGAGAACAATTTGGGGGGCCGTCTTTGCTGTGCCCTCTTTATGTCATAAAATTACCTCAAAACATTAATAGACTATTTTGCAAATCACTGTAACGTTGTGAGAAAGCATCACTTTAAAATTTCAGACTGGGTGAAATGCAAAAAATGTTCAAAAAAAAATCAGGTCATATTAAATTGGAATACTTCTATGCTGATGGTTACAGCACAATTTATATGTAGCCAACACTAACAGGCCGATGCTGCTTTTTTACCTGTCACTTAATCACAGCTCTTCAGATTTGCCAGCAGATCTAAGGGGGTCAAAGCAGCTGATCCATCAATCTACATTTATATCCTATTTGAATAATCCGAAGGGAGTGCTGAGTAAGGCTCTATCAGCAGCATCTCTCTGTGATGCTCCCGCCCATAGTTCAGCCTATTTGTATGAAGTGAACCATTAAATAAGATGTAGCACAGTAATCTTGGATCAGCCTGTCATTTTCTTTAAGGACTTTCTTCTCTCAAAGCCAGTTAAACTGAACAGTCAGTTAAACAAAGAGAGAAAACAAGCTGATTATCAACTGAGATATCTTTCCAATGAACACAAATGAAACATGTACACATTTTGGTCAGAAATGTGGCCGTCTGCCAGAAAACACAGTTCTAGCTTCACAGAAAAGGTACAAATCTTGCCTGTACATAAAACTGATGATTATCATGAGAAAATAACTGAGACAAGAATTAAGACATGGTGGGCACATACACACATGTAATTAATGCGAATCAGTAAATACTGGCACATATCGCACCAGAATTGATTGCTCCTGGGTGCCATGTTTACATGTGCACCCAAGACCGCATCACATTGAGCTGGGTTGAAGAAGCCCCGGCTGTTCTGACCGGCTTCAATGGGCTGCAGAGGGGCTAGCTGGGGCACCACGGTGCTCTGGTGCGGGGCTAGCCAGCAGGCAGCCCCAGCACTGAAGCACCCTTGTGCCCCAGCCAGCCCCATCAGTGTCTACACATGCATTGCTGTGCAGTAAATGACACCACTGCAGGACAGTACTTTTATTTACAAGTACTTACCTACGGCAGCATTTATTAGTTTACTAAGACCTATTAGAGTTGTGTAGATGCAGACTTTACTGAAAAGCTAATTAGGCAACTCCACAGTAAATGTCTCATGTAGACACATCCAGTTTAACTAATACTGTTATATTTTGTATAAGTCTTGCTTAGGCTTGAACTCATTATCAATTCACCTTTTTATCCGAAAATCCTAAGGCACTTTACAAAGAGTAATTAGATTTCACACTAATCCCCTAAAATACCTGCTATAAAACTCATTTAACTAAACAATGGCATTGCATAACATTTTATAGAGCAGATAAACATTCTTGAGGGGGAATCATCACCAAGAAACATCAACGTCAGTCTTCCTCCATAATTACAAAAACATAAAATATTACCATATTCCAGCTGTGCAAACATTCCAAAAGCAGCAGTACGTAGTTATAAAATGGGGACCATAAAGTTATATAATGAATCAATTAACATTTCCATGGCTGTTATCTCCCACATTCTAGCTGACTAATCTTTTACGAGGGTGGCACACTTTGCTTCTCACAATCATACCCCATCTCACCAAAAATAGCCAAGCAATTAAGTCTTTAAAAGGAAGATTATAAAATATTCTTGATTGAAACACTAAATCATGTGCCATTAGTATTTAAATAATCTTCCACAGTTACTATACTCACTTCTTACTGTTATTTTTTCATGAAAACAAATCTTCTATATTATGGATAAAATAGGTGTGGGTACAAAACAGCGAAGGTATCCTACTACAGATCCAAATGAGGGAATTCAAGCGTCCTTCTGAACTTACACTGCAGGAGTTGCCTCTAATTGTCCCAGCTGGAGAGTCAAGGTGACCAGATGTAATACTAGTTACCTCACTCCCTTGTGTGCTGTTGGGTACAGAAATTGGCATTCCTTAAGCATGATAGCCCAATGGGCTACTTAGGCTTAGGTGGACCTTTAACCTTTGTATAAAAGGCCAATGATTGCCACGCATATTCCAATAAAATGAAGGAGTCTGAAGGGCCAGATCTGTAAGAACAGCTGAGTTAGTTAGATAATCACTTTCTCAGCCCATAAATTAGCTCTGGAATACCAGTGTAACATTTTGGTATGCAAAGCAAAGGTGACCATGACCAGGGCAACAGCAAAAAATTATGGAACATAAAACAGTGCCATCTCTGAGCATAAGTGATGCTTGTAGATGAAGAAGGTTGCTAAGCTCCAACATATAGGTCTCTTTCTGGATGAGTTCTAACTGCATCCATTAATCAGTGAGTATAGACAAAAAGAAACAACAACAACTATAGATATGCCTTAAGCACAGAATGTTTCCTGTTTTATAACCCCCCCACCTCCCGCCCTCTGCAAAAGGGTTGTTAAGAGTTCCAGAAATTACTTTTGGTACAAATTAAAATCCATAGAGAGGGTTTCAGAGATAGGCAAAGGATATGTCATTACCTTCAAATTGAAAATATTTCGGGGGGGAAAAAAGGGTATAACCAGCACCTTCAATATTGGTTTACCAGTGATTCATGAAATTTATTAAGCAATAGTTACTTGCTCTGTCACCTGAATTGACTTTGGAGACTTGAGGATTTGTTTTGAGGTGGCTCAGTAACAGTGGGTCTCAAATACCTGGAAAACATACGGGCGTTCTGTTAAAGACTTCTACCTATCTATACAGGTAGTCTAGACCATTGGTCAGGAACTTAAGCCAATGGGCCAGATGTGGCCCACACAGCCATTTTGTTCATCCCACAGAGGCAGGGGCCTTCTGCTGCATTTTAGCAGCAGGGAGTCTTTACCCACACAGTGACTGGCCAGCAGAGAGAAGCAGCAACAGACTAGCAGGGTGGAAGGATAGGGAGTGGAGCTGATAACTGTATATATGCTGGCACAGGCCAGGTTGGAAATAGCCTTCACTTGAAACTAAGCTCCAAAACATTGATGACCCTCTTGGTGTCAGCATGTGCTATTTGGGTGAAACTGAATATTTTGCTTGATTACCAAAAAATTTAAAAATTACTGAAATTTGGCAGAAAAGCTCTTAATGATTCAAAATCAAAAAGTAGTAATGTGACCTTATTTCAAACCGAGTTTCTCACATAGACCCAGCTGCCCCACAGGCCACTGCCCCCCTTAAGTAGGGGAGGGGGAAAGGAAAAGAGAGGAGAAGGATGTGGCTTCCAATGTCAGAGGTAACAGAAGAAGGGGAAGGAAGGAAGGAAAGGAAGAGGAACAGAAATTACCTCTGGTAAGCAGAGCCTGCCTAGAGGAGGGAGGAGGGAGAGAGCTTATCTCTGGTATATATCACCTACCTAGGGGATTGGGGAAGTAAAGAAATGAGGGAGACAGCAGCCTGTGCCACAGGACGCAGGAGAGGAAGGAAGAGCTTCAGAGCGCATCAATGGCCAGTGCAGTGCAGTGCAGGGAAAGGGCTGAACCAGGCTGAGCTGTTTGCTGCTGATCCTCTGTGCCATGGATCAGATTCTGTCACTTTAGAGGCTGGATTCAGTCTGTGGGCAGTAGATTGAGCACCACTGCTATAAAACATTTTAATTTATTTATATATTGCATTTAGATCACAATGGTTGATATCAAAATAAAACATTTTGATAAGGCGATTTTGATGTTTCTGGGGGTTTCTTCCCATTCCACACAAAAAAAGATTGGAAACGTTAAGTTTTTATTACAATTTGAATTATCAAAATTTCCCACTGGCTAGAAATGTTGTCTCCTGGACAGCTGTATCTAGTTTTAAGAAATAACTGAGTCATGAAGCTTCTTACTTGCTAGAAGAAAAAAACTGTTATTTTTCTCAGCGGTTAGAGATGACAAAGTACCTTAAAGTCCATGCATTTACATGCTATGCTACTATTGATATTTTAGATTGTATGTTGTTATGTTATTTTAATTTTTTTTTAGCTACAGTCTTCTCAAAAAGGTTTAATTTCAATCAGATGCTGACTAAATTTGAAATTAACAACAAGGGATTATGAATACAAAATTGACTAGAGAAAGAATAAGGTAAAAATATTTAGATCAGCTGCATTTATTCAAGTACTCAAGGACAAATTACATCAAGTGCTGCTATCTGAAGCATTCTCTGAACCATTAGCAATTATCTTCTGAGAATGTATTGATGGGTGAGGTCCCAGAGGACTGAAGAAGGGAAAACATAAACACTTCTTTGAAAAAGGAGGACCCAGGGAATATATAGCCAGTCAGCATAATTTTTATACAGGTTTACATCACTTTATGCTGTACATGCATTCCTGGAAAACAAGGCATAAATCAAATTCTTACAAATTCGCACTTTACAATGTAACGAATAGGGATATGTTCCAAGACCTCAACTGTACTGACCCCCAGACCCATTTTTACCACTTTTACCGGACAATTTTGGTCCTCACCAACATCAGACACAAGCACAGGGCACCATCATAATGGGGATGGCAACTACAGAGACACATTGCAGACAACGAGCGAGGAGCACAGGTCCACACAGGAGACTATATTTTGGTGTGTTTCACTCCTGCAATGCACGGCACAAAGCAGCTGACTGCAGGCTTCCACCACACCTATCACATAAGAGTGAATGTACCTTGCATATAACAAATTTTGGGTATAAAAATGATTATTGTATAAGAGCGAGTTTGCACATACAGAACCCGCATAAAGTGAGGGAAACCTGTATTAGGAAAGATACTGGAATAAAATTTTAAATACTCAATATATAAGTACCTAGGGATATGTGCACGTAAGTCACTGATTCAGCCCACAGACAAGAGGCTTCAGCAGTGTTTGGCAGCAGGTGCTTCTCGTATGGCATGGGAGGGTGACTGAGAGGAGAGGGGAGGAGGTGGCAGCAGGCACCTCTTCCCCCATGCAGGGATAGCAAGAAGCAGCAGCAGTCAGGTCCTAGCAGCTGCCTTCCCACCTCTGACCCAAGCTGGGTCATTCTAGCCCACAACCTAAAAAGGCTGCCAACAACTAACCTAGAGGATAAGAGATTGTCAAGAATAAATAATTTTAAACTATTTAATTTCCATCTTTGCTAATGTAACTGGTTCAATATGTAGAAGGAAAGTAGTACATGTTCTAGGTGTTCATTTTAGTAAGGATCTTAGCACAACTCCACATAATATTATCAAACTAAAGAAATATGGTCTAAATCAAATTACTATAAAGGTGGGTGCGCTATTATTAAAATGAGTGAATAACCATACTCAAACAGCAGGTAACAATAACTCATTGCCAAACTGCAAGGCCATATCAATTCAGCTTCTGCAAAGGTCTGTTCTGGATCTCGTGCTAGCTAATATTTTCATATTGATATGGATGAGGCAACAGAGATTGCTGATAAAGTGTGCATGTGACATCAATCTGGGAATTGCTGCCAGAATTTTGATGTAAAGAATTGAACTCAAAATTAATCTGATAAACTTCAAAAATGGAAATGCAATACAGGCAACTGCAAAGTACTACTCTTAAAAAGGAAAATTATGTTGTACACAAATAAAATTGGGAAAAGTGAATAGGCAGCAGTACTGCAGAAAGGGAACTGGAGATTAGAGTATGATGTTGTTGCAAAAAAAAGATGTCAGTCTGGAATGTATGTTTAGTATGTCATAAGTAGACCAGGGAGATAATTATTTTTCTCTACTTGGCATTGGTCAAGCCTCAGCCAGAGTACAATGCAGTTTTAGACACAACACTTTAATAACGATGTAGACAAAATGGAAAAAGTCCAGAGGGGAGCAAACAAAAATCCTAGAAGATTTAAAAAAAAAAAAAACAATATTTGAGGAAAGGTTGAAAGAATTGGGTTTGTTGAGTATAAACAAAAAAGAGAAACTTAAAGTAGAATATGATAATGGAGTTCCAATATTCATAAGGCAGTTATGAAGAAGACAGTGATGAATTGTTTTCCATAAGCACAGGAGTTAGAAGTAGCAGTACTTGGCTTACTCTGCAGCAAAGATTAACGAGTTAAATATTATGGAAAAAATTCTAGATTGAAGGGTGGTGAGGCAGGTGGAGCAGGTGCTTGTTCAGAGCTAGCTTGGGTGATTCTCTCTGGCAATGCATGCTCGATATATCAGCTATGACTTTTAGTTAGCAAGCAATGGAGAAGTATGTTAATGTTAAATAATAATCTTCTCAAAATGTTTTTCCAACTGGTGTTGTGACTAGCAGTACTGGTTGGCTTGCATTCACTACCATCAATGGTACAGACCACTCACTACTGAACACTAATAAACAAGTACGCTGCCCCAGGCAAGGCTGTTCATTAGGGAAAGTGGCAGCACAGTGGGAAGAAACAGGCTGTGGAGGCTTCCCAGGGTTGGGTTTCTGACAAAACTATTCCTGGAACATGACACAGGAGCAGGTCGACCAGATGCATTGGAGGCCTTTCCTGCCAGAGCACACTGTCATCATGTGATCATAAACTTCTTAAAAGATTGTTATGTTTGGGACAGCAAAGGACAGAAGAGTCGAGATGGAAAGAGGGAGAAGGGAATATACAAGATAGAGGTAGGAAGCACATAAGGAAAGTATGCAAACTAGGTGTATTTCAATGGTACCAGGCGTTTTTGCTTTGTGCAGTTATGTACAATTCTTTCATAATTGTTAAAAGAAATTAGACAACTGTTGTTTGAATCACTATAGTAAAAGATAAGTTTAGAGATGTAGTGTGAGGGGTAGAAAATGAGTATGCCTGGGATTGGAAGGACATTCCAGGCACACGTGGAATTCTTACCTAACAGGCTTAGTCTCTCCACATTCCTTTGTTTTTTTATTGAAATAGATTCCTCAGAAGAACATATATCCAACAGCGAATGAATCAAACTATTAAGATCACAACATTTTAGTGAGCTTTATATTAGGCAAAATGAATTAGCCTAATACTGGTGCTTCAATGTTAGTTCCTATTTAATAGACTCCTAAGCCTACATACTAACAGCTATAACGAAAATTGTTTGTATTGTAGTTATTAGCTGTAATCTATAGATGATTTTCTTGTAAATGACTGTGCTTGTAAAACATTACAGAACAATAGGTCAGAACTAAAGTTTTAGCTATGCAACTGCTGAAAACGTTTTAAATTTAAATAGGTGAGAAAAATCTTTAGAAATCATTACCTCTTTTCATTCCATCTTTACTTTTTAAGCCTCCTTTAACTTCAGCATAGTGCAATGTACTTTTACTTTTTCAGATTATTTTTTTCCTCTTAGTGCTTGTCTGTCCTAGTTAAGTGTGGTATAATTGCCTGAATACCAATTTATAAAGCTTTAGGAACACAAGTCTGTAACAAAGATATCACGCAATCTGAACTAATTTACTGGAAGTACAAGTGGCATCACGCTGACGGATAAGTGAGAAAAGCAACGTGTCTTAATTATTTTCTGCCCAACTATCTTTTTGGATCTGTTATCAGTAATACATCTTCTTATATAAAATGTATCTAAACTTAGAAGGCAACAGAATGGATTCTTTGGTTTAAATAATTTAGCTGTTTCTGGCAAGTGTGCCGGTTTTATCTAGCTGCTGATTTGTGTTCATCAGCTTGTATTCATGGGTTAAATTTGTCACTAAATTTAATTGTTCACTACACAAATCTCTTTGAGTACCTTATCAAAATTTCTTCTGTTTGAAGGCAGCCCCAGTTTGATTTTAAAAGAGTATTTGAAGTATTCAAGACCTCAAATTCACATGAAACAATATTGTTTAAAAAAAAAAAAAAAAAAAAATCAGAGATTCAGTTATCCCAAATAAATGTCTTCATTTTAGCCAAATGGCCTAATAAGTAAAAATAACCAAAACACAGTGGCAAGTCAAAAATGTCTCTGATAAAGATGCTCACTTTAAAACAATAAACTCTATTGATCAATCTTTTTAACTTTTATTAGCAAGGTAATGGAGAAAGAAGAAATGTATAAGTAGGAATGCTTGAAAAGATAAAAAAAATGAAACAGTGTGATCTGTTCTGTTATAGATAGAACTGTGTGCATATGTGCAATATTTTGGGGGCTAGTGTGTTGTATATATAGGTGTGTGGGTACACACACATGTGCACACTCACGTGCACTTAGGTTCCTTAAGGCATATGTGATCCCCAGATATCAAAGCCTTTAAACAAAGGTTGGTATCACTCATTTTATAACAACACTTTTCTTTTTGAGTGTTATTGCTATATAGTCACATGTCTTCACAGGCCACCCTGAAGAACAGAGTTTTTACTGCTGATGGTTCAAGAGTTACATTTACATATTCAAATAGGGATATTCTGAATCAGCCTTCAAGTGCAAAGACCTTATTTAAATGACGAATTGCCAGAAATATTCATTCCCACCTGGATGTGGCAAAGTATTAGTAAATGGTTCCGTTCTTAGTCTGAATAACCATTCCAAAAGGGATTTTTAAAGAAGAGAAAAGTAAGAGTGTTAGAGAGAAAGAGGGGAAAAATAAGGAAATAGGATGGAAAACATGAGCAAGTAGAAAAGGAATTAAACAGTCAGCCTGGCTCAAAAATGGAACACTGTCATGGGACTCAGGACGCCTGGATGCTATTTGTGGCTCCACCGGTAAACCTCTGTGTGACCTTCAGCAAATCACCTCACCTCTCCAGGTCCCCCTTTCTTGCCTTTTCTCCATCTCATCTATTATGAAGGATAGGATTTGAGGACAGGAAGTGTCAGTTGGTTATGTTTTTATACACTGCCTTGGACAACAAGACCCCAATCCTAGTTGGGGTTTTTAATAGTTAATTTCATACTACTATGTAATGATAATAAAGATAGTGGGGAAAAATGTGATTCCTCCTAATTTCTAAGTTGGTCTAATAAAAGGTATCATCTCTGAACCAGGAGTTCTAGAGTTTTGCATTTATTTTTGTCTCAGACCAACATGGCTACAAAATACATCCCTGAAACATGGAAGATGCCATAGCCAATTTTGGATTTAAACTTCATTGCTGAACAACTAGAAAGATTTCTATACTTCCCTGTCTGCCTGCCATCTGACACCACCAGGGAAGGAATCCTGCCTGATATGCACAATGAGCAACTCACAAAGACACTCTCATGGACCCAGAGGAACAGATTACCATCTTCAGCTTCCTCTGTACAAAAATGAAGTTGATTTCCTACCTACAGGGACTTCTTACCATCTTTCATTTTCCCTGTGCCTGATGAAGGGTGTGTGAGCCTGAAAGCTTGCTTTTTTTTTTTTTTTTGCAATTTCTTAGTTGGTTTAATAAAAGGTATCATCTCTGAACCAAAGGTTCTAGAATTTTGTATTTCTTTTGGTTCCTCCTAAGGCAGAGAAGGTTCTTTGGGTAGACGTGATACCTTTTATTGTCCCTCCTGAAGTATTTCTGGACTTTCAAAGGATAAATTGCTAAATGTTGGTCAGTCTTTCAGCACTGACATCAACAACTTTTAGCTCATCTGGACAATGGCCCAACTGCATAATCTTAGTCCACTTCTCCATGCATTGGCAATGAACTACCCAGTGGCACAAAAAAGCAGCTAATACATCTCTTCACAAGAATGGACTGGATTCATCTTTTTCTAAAAAACAAGGAATAAGAAATATCTTCTCTCTCACTTGTTTGGAAAAGGTAAGTATGGTAAAAATTTAAAATCAAAAAGTTTTTACACCAATCAAGGATTTCATGCTGTTTCTATATAAGGTTTCTACAGTACAAAAATACATGATTGCATACCAACAAACACATACCTATGCACATACAATGATTGTGCATAAAAACAATTTACAGAATACATACACATACACACACACACACACACACACACACACAGGTTTCCCTCACCAACCATGGTTTTACCAATCAGAGTTCTGAATATCTACGCTTCAGAGAAAGGGTGCGTGTGTGTGGGGGGAGGGGGGTTCAGTCTGAAAAGGCCCCCAAAGGCCCTCTGGCCCTGCTCATGCCTCTAACTTCCCCCCCACCACAGCCCCCACAGTCTTTCTGGTACCCCTCATCCTCACCCAAAGCCCCTGCTCCCCAGCCCTGCTGGTTTTGCCAACCGCAGGAACTTTCAGGAACCTAACTCCTATGGTTGGTGAGAAAAACCTACATCTATTCTATAAATTTCTATATACAATTTTACATATATCACAAATGCAGGATTACACCAGTGGTATATTTTATTTTTATTTCTGAAAATCAAAAATTTTATTATCTGTGTGTGCTTCTAAACATAACTATTACAGCACCTAAATAAACTGCAGAGTTTCTTGCTCTGGTGTTCCTGGGCGTGCCCTGTGAATATACACCCAGGAGCAACTAACTCTGGAGCAATAAGCTCCCCAGGTTATTCAGGTGCAGCACACAGAGCCCGGGTGGAGCAGCCCCAGCTGGCAGGGGGTCCCAGGGGTTAGTGCGCCAGCCAGCCCAGGGCTGCTCTCCTCAGCTCAATGTGCTGCAGAGAGGCTGGGTGAGGCACAAGGGGGCTTCAGTGAAGGGCTAGCCAGCAGGCAGCCTCCAGACTGAAGCACCCGCACTGAAGCCTTCCCCCCTTCCCCCTCCCCTCATGCCCCAGTCACCTGGGCGCCATCTACACATGTGCTGCTGTGGAGTTTTTTACTCCCCTGCAGGTTAGTACTTGTATTTTACTTGATAGTACTGTACTTGGCCATCTTGACACAAGATGTTTACTGCACAGTAGCTCATTACTACTGTCCAGCAGCATCACCAGGCATGAACCATGATGAGACGCTACTGCGCAGTAGTAACAAGCAACTAGGGACGTTACTGAATAGTAATGCCAAGTACTGAGCAGTCGTTTAGTACTTGGTTACACAAATACTAAATGACTGCATAGTAACAACTGTGCAGTGGGAATCTCATGTAGACATGCCCCTTGAAAATGAGTTTACCCTAGCCTAATAGGGGTGCATGTGTAGACATCAAGACATTTACTGAGCAGCTAATTAGTCAACTTTATAGTAAATATCTTGTATAGATGCATCCTGTGTGACTTACTAAAAATACCATTTATCCCAAGGAAAACAAATGTTGGTTGTTTCTTTAAAGGAAAAAAATTATACATCATGCCAGTGAAAAATAAATGATATCTGTGTACCTAATAATGACAATATTTTTCTTGCTTTAGTTATAACTGGCAGAACTAATATAAATCAAATTAAATGAAGGTAAAAAGTCATTAGGTTGTGAATGATTTACAAGAGAGATTTGGCATATTATTCCCAAATTCAGTAGATGTTGGCTGTAGACTCCATTACTAAGCCCACTACTCAATGCCTCATAAAAAGGGTGAATATTTCAGATGACTGAACAGAGGAATAATAAGAACATGGTTGCTTGTGTGTTTTCAGAAAATGAATAAAGAGTGAAGTTTTAAAGTAAATAGTTCTTGTTCACCTTCTTCTTAATTTATTCTTCTTTCCTTTGATTTCTTCTGTAAATGACCAGATATTTCCTCTCATTTGGTCTCTCAGTAAGGAAAAGCAGGTTTAAAGGAAAACTGCAGTAAACAGCTATAATG